CCCCCCCCCTCCCTGGTGCCTGGATTTCCAACTGTGCCAATGAAAGGAATAATTGAGGAGTCCAGCTTAGTGACATCTTTATTATGTCCTTGTGTGTGTTGTGACTTGTTAGGCCTGTTCAGTACTATTTCCTAATCGTATCATTAGAGGGTCTGAGAGATACAAGAAGACAGCAGGTGACCATCCAGAGCAGCGCACCCTTATAGTAGGGATCGGGACCTCCTTCCTCCTGCTGGAGATCCCTCTAGTGATGATAAAAATCTATATAGGGGAATCAGGACCTCCTTCCTCCCGCTGGAGATCCCTCTAGTGATAATAAAGATCTACAATATAAATAAGCCATGACTCCCAAAAATTTCCATGCGTCGCCAGTGTTTGGGTTTCGCTGAAAGAAAAGGGGGTAACCCTAATATAGAGGGATCAGGACCTCCTTCCTCCTGCTGGAGAGCCCTCTAGTGATAATAATGATCTATATAGAGGGATCAGGCCCTCCTTCCTCCTGCTGGAGAGCCCTCTAGTGATAATAATGATCTATATAGAGGGATCAGGCCCTCCTTCCTCCTGCTGGAGAGCCCTCTAGTGATAATAATGATCTATATAGAGGGATCAGGCCCTCCTTCCTCCTGCTGGAGAGCCCTCTAGTGATAATAATGATCTATATAGAGGGATCAGGCCCTCCTTCCTCCTGCTGGAGAGCCCTCTAGTGATAATAATGATCTATATAGAGGGATCAGGCCCTCCTTCCTCCTGCTGGAGAGCCCTCTAGTGATAATAATGATCTATATAGAGGGATCAGGCCCTCCTTCCTCCTGCTGGAGAGCCCTCTAGTGATAATAATGATCTATATAGAGGGATCAGGCCCTCCTTCCTCCTGCTGGAGAGCCCTCTAGTGATAATAATGATCTATATAGAGGGATCAGGCCCTCCTTCCTCCTGCTGGGGATCCCTTTAGTGATAATAAAGATCTATATAGAGGAATCGGGACCCACTTCCTCCTTCTGGTGATCCCTCTAGTGATAATAAAGATCTATATAGAGGGATCAGGACCTCCTTCCTCCTGCTGGGGATCCCTCTAGTGATAATAATGATCTATATAGAGGGATCAGGACCTCCTTCCTCCTGCTGGAGATCCCTTTAGTGATAATAAAGATCTATATAGAGGAATCGGGACCTCCTTCCTCCATCCCTAATCATTCCTAGGGTTGCCACTTGTCCGGGATTCACCAGGACAGTCCGGGTTTTGAGTCCTGTATGTGCTGTGTCTGGGCTTCAGGCCAGCTGATACCTGGACACAAGATGTGATGATGTCAGGTGGACAAGGGCAACCACGCGGTCCTGGTGTTCCAACTTGAGTGCATGGAGGAGGCACAGGACACGGGGTCTCTCCTTGCTCTCTCTCTCCTGGCTCTCTCCCCTGGCTGTCTCTCCTCGCTCTCCTGGCTGTCTCCCCTTGCTCTCTCTTTGCTGTCTCTCCGTGCGCTGTCTCCTTTCGCTCTCTCCCCTGGCTGTCTCTCCTCGCTCTCTCCCATGGCTGTCTCTCCTCGCTCTCTCCCCTGGCTCTCTCTCCTCGCTCTCTCCCATAGCTGTCTCTCCTTGCGCTCTCTCCCCTGGCTGTATCCCCTTGCTCTCTCTTTGCTGTCTCTCCGTGCGCTGTCTCCTTTCGCTCTCCCCTGGCTGTCTCTCCTCGCTCTCTCCCATGGCTGTCTCTCTTCGCTCTCTCCCCTGGCTGTCTCCCCTTGCTCTCTCTTGGCTGTCTCTCGGTGCTCTGTCTCTTCTTGCTCTCTCCCCTGGCTGTCTCTCTTCGCTCTCTCTCATGGCTGTTTCTCCTCGCTCTCCCCCCTGGCTGTCTCTCCTCGCTCTCTCCTGGCTCTCTCCCCTCGCTGTCTCTCCTCTCTCTCTCCTGGCTGTTTCTCCTCGCTCTCCCCCCTGGCTCTCTCTCCTCACGCTCTCTCTCTCTCTTGGCTGTCTTTCCATGCTCTCTCCCCTGGCTGTCTCCCCTTGCTGTCTCCCCTTGCTCTCTCTTTGCTGTCTCTCCTCTCCCCCTCTCTCTCTCTCCTGTACAGCGCTCGAGTTTTCGGGTTTTGCTAGAAGGAGACGTGGCAATTCTAGTGATTTCCCCCCAATAATTCTATCGGCTTTGCTCACGGCCGGGCCGCACTTTTTGCTCATTTTCCAATCATCTGAAATAATGACCCCAAATATTTTCTTTTCCTGTGGAATTCTGGCCGATACTGCACCCCGATATTATCCTGCATCAGCTTTGTAACACCTCCCGGAATATCGGCCCGGTTGGAGTCATGTGACTAGTGATAAAGTCTCAGCCGGCGGTCAGCTGTAAATAACTCTCTCTGATCGATAACGCGCAGAGCCGGCGATCGATGTTCCTCGGCGCCAATACTGATCCCGTGGAAGGGTTAATCGTTGGCTTTATGATGCGTAACGGTGTGATCCGAGTTCATGTTCTGCTTCCTCGTTGGCGTGTGTCCTATGCGCATTGTCCGGGGCGCCGTGGCGTGTTCACACTGCGCTGCACCTTAATTGTATGTGTGTGAAAGGCGGCTAATCCCTCGCTGGGGGTCTCCGGCACGGGATTAGAGATGCCGAATAATGACACATCATTAACTTTGACAATCGCAGCCTTTCAAACCCCGACGGCTCCGGCTGGGTGGACGCGGAGCGGTGAGTCAGCGGTGTCTAACCAGCTGAGCGCGGAATCCGACCGCCGCGTCTATGGTAGGAAATACGGCCCATTCATAGAAGCATATCGCTCACCGAAACTTGGACTTCCCCCCTGCTCATTGGCTGACCTACAGGCGCAGAACATGCACTGCAGAGATACAGAGACTTTTCAACATGGCGGTCATCTATGTGTACAATAAGAAATGCCGATGTCACACAGACCTTCCGATCTGATTGTACAATCCCTGCGCGGAGACTCCAGCAGCTAGACTTCAACCCTATAGTGTGGGGGAGGGGAGAAGCTAGGACCTGAATTTGACCAGCTATCAGCCCCTAGAGTGTGAGAGGATGAAGCAGCACAGCGAGCCAATCGGCTAATGCGCATGCTGGTAGGAAGAGAGAGCAGAGTGACAGAGAGATGAGCCCATCACCGTGCTGCTTCTCCTTTCACTGTCCAGTCACAGGCTGGGGGCGGCTCCAGGATGTCCTGGGCTTCCGATGAAGTGGGTTGAATGATTCTAGCAATCAGTCTGAGGACATCTAGTGGCTGAAAAAGGTACTGCGGGGGAAATATCTGGATTGATGGTGAATATTGCAGCAAAAGCTGGTGTTGCTGTGTTATCTCTTAATGGGCTATTCTCTTTTTTTTTTGGGGGGGGGGTTGCTGGAGTTTAGTGAATAGCAGTTGTAGGTGGTATGACCCTGTGACATTCGGTTACATGTCTACCTGCTGTCACTTAAAGCTTAATCTGCTTATTTTGCCTTCCCTGCCAACCCCCCCCCCAGTACTCCTCTCAAGAGCCCTTATGCAAGCAATAGTCTGGATCTTGGGAGAGGTTATGCAATGCCTTGATGGGTGGGTTTCATTATGGAGAAGTGGGCGTTCATTTGCATAGAAACCACCCTAGGTAACGCCCACATGTGATGCTGAGCCTCCATGACTGAAAGGTCGGGATAGCAGCCGTGTTTCAGCCTCTTCATCCTCTAATTGTGTGTGTGAAAACTGCGGTGAAATAACTTAAAGGGTTTATAAAGTGAACCTTTTGCTTTGCTCATCAATGTAATGGTGGCAGGTTGACTGTTATAAAGACATGCTTGACAACCTATGACAGGAGTTAAACTTCTTGTGCAACAGAGTATCCATGCCCTCAATAAATGAAGTATGTGGACCCCCCTCCCAATGATGGAGTTCAGGTGTCTCCAGTGAAGGTTCTGGTGATCCCTCCATCATACAAACACATTGTAGACAATTGTGCTTTCAGCCTTGTGGTCACAGTTTGGTGAAGACCCTTTTCTGTTCCCCCATGACTGTCTCCTGTGTACAAAGCCAGCTCCATACAGACATGGTGTGGAGGAACTCGAGTGTCCTGCACACAGCTCCGACCTCAACCCTACTGAACACCTTTGGTATGAACTAGAAAGCCAATTGTGAGCCAGGTCTTCTCATCCAACTTCAGTACCTGACCTCAACCCTACTGAACGCCAATTGTGAGCCTGGTCTTCCCATCCACCATCACCCATCAGTACCTGACCTCAACCCTACTGAACGCCAATTGTGAGCCGGGTCTTCTCATCCAACATCATTACCTGACCTCACAAATGGGACAAATTCCCACAGACACACTCCAAAATCTTGTGGAAAGCCTTCCCAGGATGTTCCAGCTACAAATGGGGGGTAACTATATACTAATGGCCACAGGGGTGGGGGACTCTATTAATGATGTGGGGGCAGCTCCATATTAATATCCATAGTTTGAAGAAGGGATATTCAACAAGCTTATATAGATAGAATAGGGAAACGTTGATTCCATCATTTCTGATTGGCTGTAGGATCTAAATGACATCATACTTCTTAAATGAACAGTAATAACTGTATCCTCTTCCTCGAGGACCTCGTAATGTATTCTCCTGTATGAAAATTTTCAATTCTGTCGTCAAATTTTGGTAAATTCTTAATCAAAGTTTAGTGTTCAGTAAATGTATCAGTTCATAACTCTGCTCTTCTCTATCCGGACAGGTCGCTCTCCGCATCCGGCCAATCAATGAAACAGAACTCATGGAAGGAGCCACCATCATCGCTCACAAGGTGGATGAACAGGTAGGAACATCTTCACAGGAGGACAGAATATCAACACCAAATGTAATTTTAAATGACATTCTTCAAGTCTCTGATGGCGTTATCCAATGTTCTGATTAGATTTTTCGCATGGACCTTCGCACAAATATCTATTGGTGTACGGTCAGCTTTACATGTGATTTCAAACAAAGAGAAGCAAAGGAGCACTACAACCTGGAGGGAAGTCCTCTGGACTATTGACAGTTGGATCGTATGTGACAGAGATTTATTTCTGATGAACAATTAATAGGAAGAGAAATGAATTGGGAGAGAAAATGACTCGCTTGGACGGGAAGATGGTCAATCTGTGAGGGAAGTTATCCGATGTCCTAAGTGATAACGATGTTGAAAGCTTCTTAACTCAATGATCTGACGTGGTGTGGAGGCTGCATCTGTAAAAAAGGGGAATGCTACCCTGATGACCTCCTAAATCCTGGGTCCTGGGGTGCTGGTTAATGTCTCTGGACCTGGCTGTGGGTCCTTCCAGAGAGAGCTCTTTGTGAGGATGGTGGAGATGGGCTCAGCCGGCCAGGCTGAGCCGCGGCGGCTGTTCTCCTGGAGCTTGAATCAGCCGGACCCTCGGAGGGGCTGTGCGGCAGCAGGCGAAAGGAAGGAGTTGATCACTGGGTTCCGATGTCCTCGCGCAGAAGAATAGAAGAAAGACCGAATGTCACCGGTTCTGAAAGGGGCATGGTGGGCTATGCGTTTCGAGACAATCTGTCTCTTTCTCAAGCCGGGATGTTTAGAATGTCAGAGATGCCACTGTCAATAGTCCTAACATAGGACTTCCCTCCGGGTTGTAGCGCTCCTTTGCTTCTCTTTTTGTTGCTTTATCAGGCCGGACTCCTCTTCCTGGTCAAGGAGACAGCACACCAACTATTCACACATTTATGTCCCATCACCAGTAGTGCGCTTAACAATTTTTTCCAGTGTGACATGTGATTTCCAGCCTATCCTTATCTGCTTTGCTGTGCTGAGTTGGGTGTTTTACAGAGCTCAGTAGCTCTCCTTTGAGACCTCTTTGTCTGAGGTTTCAATTAGAGACAGCATAACTCAAAGGGAGCAGCTGCAGATGTCATATAAAAACTGAAATCTCATATCATTGGATACGTTTTTCCTGGGGAAGCTACTGAATCTTTTAGATATATTTCTGTAAATATTATTGATTGTTCTGTTTATATATATTTAGGATTACCGGCCTTTCTAAGAACAGCCTTCGGGCAACTATATCAAAATATCAAATAGACACTCAAGGGCTACAGACTCTGAATGGTGTCCTATGCTGTCGTAGACATGGGGCAAGGGGTCACCCTCTCTTACCTGGTTCCTTTTATATGGCTCCCCTGTTCACTGAGCGGTTTTCCTAGAATAACAAAAGGTTTGACGGATTGCTATGGAGGCCGATTGTATGTACCGGGTTATGTATAGAAGATTATGTTCACCCCGTTCAAGCCTCGTGCATTTCCTATGTGACCTTTTTTCCCCCGAGTCGGCACACGATGAGGCTTAAAGGAGAACTATGAGGGGAGTGCTTTTCACTCACCTCATAGTTCTAGCCGACCTGTGACAATGAGACTGTCACAGGTCGGCTCAGTAGATCGGGAGGTGAGCGAACATATACCGGCGTTCGCTCCCCTCTCGATCCTGTCACGGCTCTCTGCCGTGACAGGGGGAGGGGCTGGATTCCCCTCTCCGCGCTCCGATCTGCCAGCGCTGACTGGCGGAACGGACGGGGGAGGGGGCGGGGACAGCTGGCTCTGCCTCTAGATAGGCAGAGCCAGCTGTCACTCACGCGGCTGGGTGGATCCTGTCATCTAAGTCGGGATCCGCTCCGGCTGCGGCGTCTCAGTATATAGGGAGCTGTAGCTCGCGGTATAGTGAGCTTAGGGTAACGGGAGGACGCTAGTTTGTGTCCTCCCGTTACCCTAAGGAGAACTATGGGGAAAAACACTGACCCCATAGTTCTACTTTAACTCTCCATCCCCGCGCCACGAGGTCCGCGTGAAAGTCCCGGGTCACAGAGTTCACGGTAATGCCCTGCGGCTTGTCTCTCCTATTAGCTGTAATGCTCTTGTTTACTTGCTAAAGTGGTTTCCAATGCTTATGGTATGCTTAGAACGGATCAGTCCTCTATTCTACGCGGGTATTTCCAGCGTTCGCACCTTCATCTGTCCCAGAACACCAAAGGCCAGCCGGGGACACCACGTCCTATCCGTAGAGACCCGCGGCCACCGCCGGCTGGGAGATGGCGGGTGAAGTGGCGGTCAGATGGCTTATTGAACCTTGCCTGATATGTAATGCATTCTCAGACATAATCCGATGGAAGACGTATCTGTGCGCAGCCCCTTCCTCTACGGCGGATGTCACCGCAACACTCACTGCCAAGCAGCAGCTGTTAAGCAAACTAAAATTTAGGGATGTATTAAAAAAAATTTAAAGGGAAAGTGAAGCGGTTTTTGGTCAATTTTAATTTACTTTTCCAAATTTTTTAAACTATTATATGCTACATAAAGAAAACTGGCAGAGAAGGAAGAATCTGAACAATATGACCATAAAACTTTGCCCAGTAAGCAGCGGGGCAAATGACTTGAGTCCACATTATAACAAACAACTGCTGAGAATTGGTGTTTTTATGATACGCGAGAGTTTCCCTTTAACTGAAGGAACTGAAAATAAAGGAGAAAAACAAAACAAAAAAGTTTTTCTCAGGTGAAGAACGAGTCCCATGTACAGACTGTGGCGGGGAGAAGCGGGCACAGATGGTGCTGGCTGATAACAGGCTTTTAGGAAGCTTCAGCTACCCGCTTTCCTGCAGAGGACACTGTTGCTACGGCGACGGCCCAGACAGACGGGCGCCCCCGGAGAAGGGGAGGGGGGGGGGGGGGAGTGTGTGT